TTTGCTCCTCCACCATTCCCAGCATGTCATCTTTTTCTAAAGACTGGTCTCTTGTGACAACATGCTGATAGATGATACAAACTTTCACGTCGTTGACTCTAAGGAGTTCAACCCTAGCTGAACTTCCTACAACATACACTTGGTTGTTCTTATTGCATTCTACAGTATATTCAGTACTCTTCTACACAATTCAAAATCACTGATGCATCTTCTGTTTTCTTTATTAATGGTCCTACTTTCAAATGCGTGTTATTGTTGTTGTTGTTAGATACAGTAGAGTCGAGTATTACCCATAGAGACCCTATAAACAACAAATCTGAACCCTGTTCTATCTTGTACCATCTTTACACTTCCTGACACATTGCAGCAGTCACCATGTCAATTCACTTAGTTGACCCTGTGCTTTTCTGAGCATCATATCCCTTTCCAAGGAATAGCTCCTCCTAGTAAAATAACCAAAGTGTGTGAGGCAAAGTCTCACCATCTTTGTCTCCAAAGAGCACTCTGGCTGCACCCTCTTCAAGATATATTTGTTTCTTCTTTTGGCAGTCCATGGGATGTTCAATACTCTTCTCCAACACTCAACTCAAATTCTTATGTTATAAATTCTGTATAAATTCTGCCATCATCTTTAGTCATTGTCCAGCTCTCAGATGCATAGCAAGTGATTGGAAAGACCACGGCCAGAAACAGATACACTTTAGTCCTCAAGCTGACATCATTACTCGTCAATAATTTGGAAATGTCCCTAACTGCAGACTTTCCCAGCGCAATACATATCCTGATTTCCTGACTGCAGGTACAAAGGGTATTAATTGTGAATCCAAGTAAGATGAAGTTATTGACAGTTTCAATCTTTTCTTCTTCTATCAGAATGCTTCCTGTCTGTCCAGTGGTTAATGTATTTATCTTTTTTACATTGATATGTGAGATGCAATCCATATTGAAGATTGTATTATTTGATTTTCTGCAATAAGTGTTTCAAGTCCTCCTCACTTTCAGCACGCAAGGTGTGTCACTGCTTAATGCAGGTTATTGATGAGTCTCCCTCGAGTCTCCCTCCAATCTTTATGTCATATTCCTCTTCATAGAGTCCAGCTTCTCCAATAATCTGTTCAACATACAGATTGAATAGGTATGGACAGAGAATATAACTCTGACACTCTTATTAAACTCTTATTATTTTAAGCCATGTAGTGTTCCCTTGTTCTGTTCCCATATCAACCTCTTGGTCTGGGTATAGATTTCACATGAAAACAATTAAGTGCTCTGGGATACCCATTCTTCTCAGTGTTAGCCATAACTTATTAAGAGTCACACAGTCAAATGTCTTTGCATAGTCAATAAAACATAAATATTCATTCTTCTGGTATTCTTTACTTTCAGCCAGGGTCCATCTGACATCAGCAATGATATCGCTGATTCCACAGCCTCTTCTAAATATGTTTGACCTTCTGGGAGTTCCCTGTCTGTGTACTTTTCTAGCTACTTTTTAAATTATCTTCCACAGTATTTTGCTTGCATTTGATATTAATTATATTGCTCAATAGTGTCCTGTCTGTTGGATCACCTTTCTTGGGAATGGGAACAAATATGGACCTCTTCCAATCCATTGACCAGATAATTGTCCTCCAAATTTTCTGACATAGAGTGGTTAGAATATCCAGAGCTGCATCTGTTAATTGAAACAAGTCAATTGATACCTCATCAATTCCTGGGGCCTTATTTTTTTTTTCCAGTGCCTTCCAAACAATTTCTATTTCCTCTTTCATTACCATTGGCTCCTGCTCCTGTGGTACTTCCTGAAATGCTTCAGGATCAGTCAATTCTTTTTGGTACAGTGATTCTGTGTATTCCTTCCATCTTCTTTTGATGTTTTCTGGTTCGTTCACTATATTGTCCATAGCATCTATCAATATTGTGACTTGAGGCTTAAATTTGTTTTGAGTTCTCTAAGCTTGAGATTGCAAGCGACTCGATGGCACATAACAACAATAACAACAACAACAAAGCTTGAGAAATGCAAGCGAGTTCTTCCATTTTTATTCTATAATTACAGCTCTCTGCACATTTCTTTATAATACTTTGCTTTGTCTTCTTCTCAAGTTGCCTTTTGAAATCTTCTGTTCAGCTTTTACTTCGGCATGTTTTCCCTCTGCTTTTACTTCTCGATACTCTAGTGTAATTTTTAGAGTCTCTTCTAGCATCCATTTCTGTTTTTTCTTTCTTCTTTGTCTTTGTAATGACCTTTTGCTTTCTTTGTGGATAATATCCTTGATATCATCCCATGACTTATCTGATCTTTGGTATTCAATGCTTCAAACTTATTCTTAAGATGATTCTGAAATTCAGATGGAATTGGTTCAAGAGTATATTTTGGTTCCTGTGGACTTATTTTCATTTTCTTTGGCTTCAATTTGTACTTGCACTTGATTAACTGATGGTCTGACCCAAAGTGCGCCCTTGACCTAGTTTTGACTGTCAATATTGAGCTTCTCCAATGATTCCTTACACAGATGCAGTCAATCTGATTCCTATGCAGTCCAACAGGTGAAGTCCATGTGTAAAGCCACCATTTATGTCTTTTTAAAAAATCATTTTCAATGATAAATCATTGAAAATATAAAACTTTTTCATTCTATTTCTAGCTTCATTTCTATCACTATCCCCATATTTTCCAACTACTATTTCTTCTTTGGAAGCAGGAGTGGCACCGACTTCCTAAACCACATGCCTCTGAAAACTCTCTATGTACTTGGAGAAACGACAATAGTTATAGAAAGCCTTCAGGCCTTTGTTCATAGGGTCACTGTGAGTCCTGCTCGACTTGATCACAACAAACAACAACAACAACAATTCCTTCTTTATAGTTTCCAACTTTTGCTTCCAGTCACCAATTATCATTAACACATCTTGGTTACATGTTTCTTCAATTTCGGACTGTAAGATTTGGTAAAAATTTTCAATTTCTTCCTCTTTGACTCTAGATGTAGGAGCATGTATTTGAATAATAGCCATATCAACAGGTTTTGGGTATGTGTTTTTTTTTTGTATGTGCATAGATAATGTCCTATTAACTCGCAACATTATATTTCAGGATATAATTTTAAATCACTTTTTAATTTTTTCAGATGTGTAGGAAGGATTTGAAAAGATCATGGCTTGAATCAGGCTCACCTTCACCTTCAAACTGACATCTTTGCTCTATAAAACTCTGGAGCAGTCCTTAACAGTAGATTTTCCCAGTGCAACACGTGTTTTGATTTCTTAACTGCTACTACTAAGGGTGTTGATTGTGAATCCAAGTAAAGTCAAATGATTGACCATTCCAGTCTTTTCTCTATCTATTATGATGTTGCCTCTTGGTTGAGTGGTAAGCATTTTGCCTTCCTGATGTTGAGATGTAATTCATATTGAAGACTGTAGTCCTTGATCTTCAGCAAGTGCTTCAAGTCTTCTTCACTTATTGCAAGCAAGGTTGTGTCATCTACATAACACAGGCTACTGAGTCTGTCTCTGGTCCTTACACCACCACATTGTTTTTCACTGTCTTCTATTTTCTACCAGCTGTATGGTTATGGTAAGACCATAAACCTCACTAATTCTCAATTTATTAACCATAGTGAAAGTCATAGTTGTCACAGGATTAATTCAGATTATGTGTATAAAGTTCATAGATAATCATTCTATGTTGTTGTTGTTGTTAAGTGCTGTCGAGTCGCCGGCGACTCATAGCGACCCTATGAAGGAGAATCCTCGATGCTTGGGTGCCTTTCATCCTCTCTCCAGGCTCGTAGAGTTTCCGGAGGCAAGCTATTACGGAAGTGGATGCCACTCCTCCTTCTAAGCTCTACAAATCTTAGCAAGTGTTAATTATTAGGGACTTGTGGTAGTCTAGAGGGTAACCCAAAAGGAGGTGATTCTAATTCATCAGCTCCTCTGAGGGAGAAAGACGTCAATCTACTCCCATACAATTTACAGTCTATTGAAAACTCCCTGGATAGTCAGCAATGAGTCAGTTCCTGCTTGATAGCAATGATTCATTTGGAGATAAATTGCTAAGCAGGTAACTATCCTGTCTAGTGTCTGTGTTTTCTAGAATGATACAAAAGGATGGGTCTCTGACAAAGCAAAAGAATATGAAAAGAGTTTAATATACAGTTTTTTAGCACAACAGCAACGAGGTTTTGAAGTTTTATTATGTGACATTTCCTGTATTTATGAAGACATGATTATGGCTTCCGTGAAAATCATTAGAAAACTCTGGTGACCTAGTAGATAAGGCATTGTGGTGTCAACCACAGGCAGGCAATTCAAATACACGAGCTCCTCTGCAGGAGAAAGTGTATCTAAGCAAAACTAGTTACGTTTAATATGTGGCAGTGATGCAATTATTCAATGCAAGAATAGGAAAGCACTGATTTTCTACAGACGTACATTTTGAAACTGGAGGGTAGGGTAAATATCTCAACCTGTGGAATGGCAAGAGAAAGGGTGGGAGCAAGGTGGGTATCAAAGTTCACCATCCAAGAGCCTGCCTGGTACAAGAAGTGAAGTCCTCAAGCTGGGACTATTCTTAAGCCATTGCTGTATCTCCAGTAGGATGTAAATGGTGGGACAACAACAAATGCTTCATTTAAGTTGGTTAAATATTGCCTCTCCACTAAAAACAAAAAAAACAAAAGGAGATATGGAGTAAATTTGTGTTTCATTGTTGTTCTTCCACATCGTACTTTTCTTAACACATTGGTCTTCATCACTTTCCCTTCTTTGGTTATTTATTTATGAATGATCACATTCAGAATTGATGAGTGTTCCAAGAATGTTTCAATTATCAACAGGCCACATTAGGATAAAATAACAGCAAAATAAAGGTTCCAAGGAAGGATTTTTGCCTAATATCTTTATGAACTGAAAGTCCCTTTTATTATCTTTTACTGTTAAAGAGCCTAAGATTGATTGTTAACTGATTTTTTTTCCTTATTGTTTTTCTTTTTTAGTGAACAGCTTAATTCTTTACTACAGACCTACAACATTTTTTATGGGGACCAGAAAAACCTGCATATTTTATGCACACAGGTAAGCATACCAGAGAAATGCAATTTTGTGTGAGTCACAAAAAACCAAAATGCTGTAAATGTAAAAGGGGAGTAAGGATGAGTAAAAAAGAAACCTCCTAAGACACAACATTCTTTGTAAGTGCTTTCTTCTTCAAACAAAGAAAAACGCAAACATTTAGAAAGTCAGAGATATTCCAAGACTGTGACTTGATGATGAATTTTAAAAACAAAAATCAAGGTCAAGTTAAAGATGCTGCTATTCTTCTCTCAATATTTGTGCCAACCAAATGTGAACTCTTACTCATCCATTTCTACTGTGTCATTGACTATGCAAAGGCATTTCACTCTGTGGATCACGACAAATTGTGATTAACCTTAAGGAGAATGGGAATCCCAGAACACTTGATTGTACTCATGTGAAACTTATACTCAAACCAGGAAGCAGACATCAGAACAGAGCAAGGAAACACTGCATGGTTCAAACTCAGGAAATGAGTGTGTCTAGAATGCATCCTGTCTCCATACCTTTTCATACCTTTATGCAGAAGAGATCATTCAGGAGGCTGGCCTTTAGGAGGGATATGCATCAAAATTGGAGGAAGACTCATCAAAACTGAGGAGGACCTGAGGCACTTGCTGCAGAAAATCAAGGACTGTAGTCTTCAACTTAAATTGAAACTCAGCATTAGGAAAATAAAAATTTTCATCACTGGGACAACTGGCAGCTCCATGACAGACCGAGAAGAGATTGAGGTTTTTAACAATTTAAGCTTCAGCAAGAAAACTATTGGACATAGTTGACCAATTCAGCAAAGTAGCATGATACAGAATCAACATACAAAAGTCAGTTGGATTTCTCTGCAGTGACAAAGAGAATACAGAGCCTGAACTAAGGAAAACATTACCCTTCACAATAGCGAATCACACAATTAAATACTTGGAAGTAAATCTAACCAGAAACACAAAGGATCTATTCAAAGAAAATTACAAAACATTACTATAAGAAACAAAAAGAGACCTGGAGAAGTGGAATAATATCCCTTGCTCATAGATAGGAAGACTCAATATTGTGAAAATTGCAATACTACCAAAGACAGTTTACACATTCAATGCAATCCCAACAAAAATACCAATCCCATTCTTCAATGAGATGGGAAAGGTAATGTCCAGTTTCATTTGGAATGGAAAGAGGCCCCGAATAAGCAAAGCACTCCTTAAAAATAGAAAAAGGTAGGAGGCATCTCACTCCCTATTTTAAAGTCCTACTACACTGCTGTGGTGGTTAAGACAGCATGGTACTGGTACAATAACAGACACATAGATCAATGAAATAGAATTGGGAACCTGGAAATGAGTCCATCTACCTATGGTCAACTGATATTTGACAAGGAGATGAAATCAGTTAAGTGGGGAAATGACAAGCCTTTTTAACAAAGGGTGTTGGCAAAATTGGAAAAATATCTGCAGAAGACTCAAGCAAGATCCACACCTCACTCCATATACAAAAACCAACTTAAGGTGGATCATGGATCTAGGACTAAAACCAAGGATTCTAAACTTCATTTTTAAAAAGCTTGGAAGAACTCTAGGAGTCCCAATCCACAACATAAACAGTCTTCCAAGTATCCTGAAAAATCTACAACCAGGAGAAGATAAAATAGATGAATGGGACCTTCTAAGAATCAAATCTCTATACACATCCAAAAACTTCTCCAACAGGGTAAAAAGGGAAGCCACAGACTGGGAAAAAGTGTTTGGGAATGACATGTCAGATAAGGGACTTATATCTAGAATTTGTAAAATACTTGAACACCACAACAAGATAAAGGTAAATAATCCAATTGAAAAATGGGCACAGGGTATGAATGGACACTTCACCAAAGAAGACATTCAGATGGCCAATAAGCACATGAAGAAATGTTCAAAATCCCTAGCTCTAAGAGAGATGCAAAACAAAACAACTATGAGATATCATCTCACCCCAGTCAGAATAGCAAAATTTAACAGAACAGCAAGCAACAAATGCTGGAGAGGTTGTGGAGAAACTGGAGCCTTTATTCACTACTGGTGGGAGTGTAAAATGGTGCAACTACTATGGAAAGTAGTGTGGCGCTTTCTCAAAAAGTTGTAAATAAAGATACCATTTGACCCAGCATTTCCAATACTGGGAATATACCCTAAAGAGACCATCGACGACATCCAAGTAGATATATGCACACCCATGTTTACTGCAGCTTTGTTGACAATAGCAAGGAGTTGGAAACAACCCAGGTGCCCATCAAGAAACGAATGGATAGAGAAGCTGTGGTATATTCACACAATGGAATACTATGCTGCATTGAAAAACAAGGTACTCGTGCAATATTATTGAAAATCGGTGACCTTGGAGGACATTATGCTGAGTGCAATATCTGTCACAAGACGACAAATACTGCATGGTGCCACTGTTGTAGAATGAGACTGACATCGGGGTCAGAGTAAGACTGAGAAAAACTGGATAAATTATGTATACTGCATTGAAACAAATGAGGGAGAGAATAATTTAAAAGTGATACATGATAGGGTATTATGGTTATCACAAGAGTCCAGAATAAAAGTTGCATAGTGGAGTGTACTCATGGTGGTGGGATGGGTACAGGGGGATTGTATACCAAAGAAAGAATTTTTCTTTTCCTTTTCAAAGAGAGAAGTGAACTGGGGGGGGGGGAGGGCTGGACAAGGAGAAAAGTGCAACAATGAATGATGAATGGAAATCCAAAATTTCTGTAGATGTTCATTAAAATTAATAAAATATTTTTTTTAAAAAAGCATCCTCAGCTTCACAATTAACACTCTTGGCACCGGTAGTCAGGAAATTGAAAGATGAATTGCATTGGAAAAATCTACTTTCAGTGCTCTGTCCAAAGTGCTAAAGAGCAACAATGTCATACTGGAGACTAAGGTGTGCCTGATCCAGCCCATGGTCTTCATAATTTCTTGCTATGCATCAGAGACCTGGACAATGACTAGGGATGACAGAAGAAGAATCGATGACTTTGAGTTGTCGTGCTGAAGAAGTTTACTGAACATGCCATGGACTGCCAAGAAAACAAAAATTTTAACCTAGAGAAGATGAAACCAAGCTGTTCCTTGAAGGCAAGATTTTTGAAGCTCTATCTCACATACTTTGGGCATGTTGCTAGGAGGGACTGTTCCTTGGAGAAGGGACACCATGCTTTGAAGTGTGGAGGGACTGCACAGAAGAGGAAGACCCTGGACACAGTAACTGAGATAGCTAATGAAGGTAATAGGTGTATTGGAGACAGTGAGATTGGCTCAAATGAGGGCAAGTTTCAGAGCTATTATGCATAGAGTTGCTGTGAGTCACAGACAACTCAATGGAACATAACAACAATAATCCTAGGACTTAAATATTTATAATTGTCAAAATCTAAGATTTAGGTAGTATGATGGCTTAAATGTTGGGCTTCTAACTGAAAGGCCAGCAATTCATACCTACCAATTGTTCCATAGGCAAAAGATAGGCAGTCTGTGTCCATTGAGATTTACATCCTCAGTTCCATTTGTTCTGAGTTGGAATCTACTTGATGGTAGTGAGTTGAGATTCTTTGTATTTTGGATTGGTTTCTTTTAAGATTTTGGGAAAGATCAAACTTTAGGAAAACGACAGTTTATATGTTAATCATTTTCACACAATTTATGATTTTAAGAAGTTTATTTCCTATCACTCATTCTCTCTTTGGTGTCAAATCAGTTCCAATTCATGGCTGATCACCAATCAGAGAAGTGCAGTCTTTAAATTAGCAGCATAACATTCTGAACACTAAGCCAGCCAAGCTCGATAATATTGTTGTTAGGTATCATCGAATCAGAGTTAACTCATAACTGGCCATGCAGAGGGCTTTCAGGGGCAGTAGAACACACGGGAGGAGACTGCCTATCTTTCTCCCTGAGAGCAGCTGGTGGATTGGAGCCTCCTGCCTTTGCTCCTGCAGTATAGCTCCTTACAACTAAGCGGCCAGAGCTAGTAACAGTTAAAAAACCCAACAACCTAACACAAAAAATTGTCTTCATATAAGGCACCTTTTTGTTTATTTTGTCAGAAGTGGTTTTGGGTTTTTTAACTGCTTCTTTGGAAACAGGAGTGGCATCCACTTCCTAAATAACATGCCTCCTGAAACCCTATGAACTTTGATAAATGTCCATAGTTGTAGAGGGGCTTCAAGCCTTTTGTTCATGGGTCTCAATGAGTCATGCTCAACTCGAAGGCAATCAACGACAACAACAACTATCTCTGGTGACTTAATGATAAGGAGTCACACTGCCAACCCTAAGGCGGGAGGCTCAAATCTACCAGCTGTTATCAGGGAGAAACATAGACAGTCACCTCTGGCATGACTTACAGCCTCTGAAAACTCACTGGAGGGTCAGCTATAAGTCAGTTCCAGCTCCACAGCAATGAGCTGTTGTTTTTGGGTTTGACTCTACAGAATTCTATGGATACAGTAATTAAGAAACTGGGTAAAATGCCTTGCCCTCACGCTGCTTACATTCCAGTAGACAAGAAACAAATGTATAGTGTCTATTATAATAGCTGTAAAGAAAATTGAGGGAGCTCTGGTGACCTAGTGGTAAGAAGCTAAGGTACAATCTCAAAGGTACATGGTTCAAATCCACCATCTGCTCCACGGAAGAAGGACAGATAGATAATTTCTTCCCATGTGATGTTCTGCCCCTGAAAACCTGCTGGAGGGTCAGCTATGGGTCAGCTTCGACTTAATGACACTCAACAACAACAACAACTGAGGAAAACAAAGCAATGACAAGGGCTCAGGGAGTGGGATAGAGTGGGGGAAGAGAGGCCTTTGAGCGGAGTCTCAGAAAGGGATGAAAGAGCAAACTCTGTAGAAGTATATGGGACAAAATTCCCAGGTGCCAGTTGTTGTCCAAATAAAGGTCCTGGGCCTGGCCAGCAGGAAAAATTGTTTGTCATAAGCCAGGTGAAAATGAAAAGCTACAGATAGTAAAGTCAAAGAAATAACTGAGAAGCATGAGGGGCCAGATAGCATATGGTCTTGCAAAGACTGTGACTTATATTTGGTGTGAGATGGGAAAAGGAATTTTAGTAGAACCAGAAGCAGATTTCTTAGTAAGCAAGTTGCAAATATATGCATATGTAATAAGAAAGCATATGTAATATGTTTTCTTACTCATTTATACAGAAAAATTTCACATATTTTTAACTCCTTCCAAGATTGAAGGTATTTTATATGTAAAGAATTCATTGAGTTTCATCGTGCAAAGAGAGGATGCTATACATCAATAACTGAACCACAGGATTTGCATCCTGCTGTTTCAGAGAAACAAATCATGTTTGGTTGTTAGACATAGCTGACTGGCAGCCCTACCTCCCAGGAACTAGAGAGGCAAGTTATAAAGTGAGAGCAAGCAAAACTTTGTGATAATAATGACTTCAAAGTAGGCTTATCAACCAGAGAAATAATCATTAATAACATTTATTATGTATTTATTGACTATCAAACACAAAGAATTAAGAGCCATTATAATGCCCATTTTTCAGAAGAGGAAGCCCATGCTTAAAGGTACTTGCAATCAGTAACAAAATTAAGAAGCGTCATAGGCAGAGTTTGAACACAAATCTGTATGAGTGAAGAGACTTAAGTGTCCATCATGCTCTTAAATAAGAACTGATTTGATGTTTGTTAAATAGTAGATTTTTTTTCCCATAAAAACTGAAGTTAGGTTTGGATTGGAAATTACTTTTCTTTGTTTCTACACTTTGAAAATTTTCTATAATTATAAAATATGAGTTTAATAACCTTGTTTTCTAGCTCTTAATATTAGAAGTGAAAGGCGAATAAACAAGGTCCATGGGGTATGTCTTGGCCTTAATGCTTCTTTAATATCTAAAGTGAAAGCAAATGTTCAATCCAAGTTTGCTCAGTTTTATTTCCATTGCTTTTTCTTCTTTAGTTAAAATGTTTCTAAGTTTTAAAATCATATTTTTTTAAAAAATCACATTTTACAGTGGTTTTGTTTCCATTATTAGTTCTATATAATAACTGCATTACATTTTTCCTGTGCAGAATAAACAGGTACACATTGCTAAATCTCTTAATATCTTCTTCTGACTTTTAAGCTTCTAGTTTTTAAACCTCCTTTAAATTTTAATTAAATTATATAGAATTAAGTATCTATTTAGTCAGAGAATTACAGTTCAAAAAACATTTTAAACATATAAGGCCCCTGGACCAGTAGACAGCATCATGATCAATGAAGAGATTTATATTGTCAATTATTTCATTGTGCTTGGATCCACAGTCAACACCCTTAGTACCAACAGTCAGGAGAGCAGGAGATGGTGGATTGTACTTGGTGTAAGATGGGAAGCATTGGTTAAGTCTACTGTGAGGGATCTCGCCAAAGTCCCGAAGAGCAATGATGTCATTTTAAAGACTAAGGTGCAACTGATCCAAGCTAAAGTCTTTTTAATCACCTGCTCTGCATCTGAGAGATAAATAATAACAGGAAAAGAATTGATGCTTTTGAGTTGTGATGTTAGAGAAGTGTGCTAAATATCCCATGGATCACCAAAAGAACAAACAGATATGTCTTGGGGAAAGTGCAATTAGAATATTCCTTGGAGGCAAAGATGGTGAAGCTCCATCTCACATATTTTGAGCATATTATTAAGAAAAGTTGTTCTTTAGAAAGGCACTTCATGCTTGGAAAAGTGGAGGGTCAACAGAAAAGAAGATCCTAAACAAAATGAATTTGTACAGTGTCTCCAGCAATAGACTCAAATGTTTCAAGGATGACAAGAACACTGCAAAACCCAAAGGAGGGTCAGATTGATTGAATGGCTATGGGCTTGGGCTATTCATTTGTTCAGTTATACCCACTGACATGAAGTCAATTCCAAGGTATTACAACCCAGTTAGACAAAACAAAACTATACCATAGGGTTTATAAGGCTACAATTCCTTACGCAGATGGACTTTCTCCCAAGATTTTTCTCTCAATAAGTTACTTACCAGATCTAACTGCTGGCTTTGTGGTTAGCAATAAGATTCTTTAAGCACTGTTCCCTATGGATGTATTTGTGATTGTTGTTTTAAAACTAAAATGTTACAAAAAAAATAGTTCTTTTATTCATGAATTTAGAAACAAAAAAAATTCCTTCTGAGATTTTTTTAAAGAATCTATTGATTGATTAGAACGTTATGGTTTGGGGCTTTACTCCCCAGCATCTAATCCATGTTGAGTTGATTTTTGTGTACCATGTGAGATGTGGATCCTGTTTCAGCTTTGTGCAGGTGGAAGTCATGTTTAGCCAGCACCATTTGTTGAAGAGGTTATCATTTCCTCTTTTGATAGCTTTGATTTCCTTGTTGAATACAAGTTGACCATAAACAGCTGGGTCTATTTATGGATTCTCAATTCTGTTACATTGATCTATGTGCCAGTCATTGTACCAGTTCCATGTTATTTTGGTTACTACTGCTGTGTAGTAGGTTTTAAAGATAGGGAGTGCTATGCCTCCCACCTCATTTTTGTTTCTCAGAAGTCTTTTGCTTATTCGGGGTCTCTTGCCTCTAAAATTTATAAATAAATTTTATAATTTCCCTTTCAAACTCCTTGAAAAATGAATTTGGTGTCTGGATTGTGATTGCTTTAAACATGCAGATTGCTTTTGATAGGACTATCATTTTCATGACATTGAATCTTCCTATCCATGAACAGGGCATATTTTTTTACAGTTTCTTTAGGTCTTTTATTGTGTCTTGCATAAAAGCTCTGTAGTTTTCTTTGTATAAGTCTTTTGTATCTCTAGTTTGGTTCACTCTCAATTTGTGGTTGGCTATTGTAAATGGTATTGCTTTCTTGATTTTCTTCTCTGAGATCTCTTTATTATTGTAGAGAAATCCTATTGATTTTTGAATATTGATCTTATATGCTGCCACTCTATTAAACTGGCCTATTAACTCTAACAGGTTTTTTGTTGTTGTTGTTGAGTCAAGATTAGAAAGGCTAGTCCAAAGTATAAAGAGATTGTCAAATACAAGCTGAAATGCACAATCTAAAGATAAAACTGATGCATGAGACCTTCTAAAGATTAAATCCTTTTGCACATAAAAAACTTTTCCCAACAGGTTAAAAAGAAAACCTACAGCCTGGGAACAAACATTTGATAATACTATGTCAGACAAGAGTTTAGAACAAAGTTTACAGAATACTCCTATACCTCCACAAGATAAAGACTGATAATCCAATTACAAAATGGCAAAAGACATGGAAAAAATTTTTGCAAAGGAAGACATTCAAATGGCAAACAGACACATGAAGAAATGCTTCAAATCTCTGGCAGTAAGAGAGATGCAAATCAAAACCACAATGAGGTACCATCTTTCTCCACTAACAGTAGCAAAGTTTAACAGGACAGCAAGTAATGAATGTTGGAGAGGATGTGGTGAGAAAGGAACTCTTATATATTGTTGGTGGAATTATAAAATGGTACAACCATTCTGGAAGGCAGTTTGGTGCTTCCTCAAAAACTGAACACAGAAATTCCATATGACCCAGCTATTTCACTACTTGGAATATGCCCTGAGTATATGAGAACTAAGGCACAAACTGAGGTTTGTACACCAATGTTCATAGCAGCATTACTCATCAAACAGCCCAAATGTCCAACCACAATGGATTGAGAATTGATGGTACATTCACACAATGTAATACTATGCAGCATGCATAATCAATGATTTTTGTGAATTATTACTTGAGCATTATGCTGAGTGGACTAACTCAATCCCACAAGTATAAATATTTTCTAAAACCATTATTGTAGAATGAGTATAAGGATCCAGGAGGGGTGGGAGAGGCTGAAAGAGGGATGTGGATGTGCAGGGGGAGGTGGGATTAATCATCAGGTTGTATGATTTGATGGCAGGGGGTGAGGGAAATTGAAAGACTTTGTTTGAATTTGTATTTGAATTTTGTAAATAAACTAGTAGAAAATTTTAAAAAATTGTTTAGAGACTTAATTTCTCCATCTTCATTTAAAACATGTACATTCTATAAATAATACAAAGCCAATATATGTGGTTTCTTACCTAGACCGGGGATGGTCAACTAATTGTTGAAGGAATGTTGGACATTTTCTGGGGAGTAAGACGGCCAATACAGCTGAAAATACAAGATGAGAAGCAAATCCCTTCATACACACCAATGAAGTCACCAGACATCTTTTCCCACAGAGGGTAAGCTATATATCACATGTTTTTAGTTCCTTTTAAGATGATCTTAATCTTATCTTGTATTCTACCAAGTTCTTCATCCACAGTCTGCACCAGTAGGTTATATCCACTGCCATGTAGTAGTGAAGAAAAGAGCATCCAGGATGCTGGACTTTATGAGGAGGAATGTGGTGTCAGGATTGGAGGTAGACTCATCAACAACATTTATTATACAGATGACAAACCCTGCTTGCTGCAACTGAGGAGGACCTGAGGCATTTACTCAAGAAGGTCAAAGACTGCAGCCTTCAATATGGATAGAAGCGTAACATCAAGAAAACAAAGATTCTCACCAATGGGCCAATTGGTAGCTCCATGGTAGATGGAGAAGAGATTGAGATTATTATCCATCACCACAAACTCAAAGTTTTAAGGGGGCTAATTAATCTAGGATGCTGTGGGCAGAATGTTAAATGTCCCAGGAAGCATCAAAAGAACATAGAAGGAGTACTTTGAATTACTACACCAAAAAGAATTGCCTGACACAGAAGAATTTCATGAAACAACATATAATCAAGAGGCAATGATGATGAAATAGAACGTTCAAGCTGCTTTGAAGGAATTTACAAATAACAAGGCCTCAGGATTGACAGCATACCAATTGACATATTTCAACAAATAGCTGCTGCACTAACAGGAGCTCACCAGGTTGTGCCAAGAAATCTGGAGTACGACTACCTGGCCAACTGACTGGAAGATATTCATTTTTATTCCCATCTGAAAATAAGGTGATCCAAATAGAGTGTGGAAATTATCAAACAATATCATTAATATCACATGTAAGCAAGAGCCTGCTGAAGATTATCCAAAAACGACTGGAATAGCATATCAACAGAGAAATGCCAGGCATGCAGGCTGTGTTTAGAAGAGGCTGGAGTACTAGGGACATGACAGCCAATGTTGGATGAATCTTAGCTGAAACCAGAAAGTACCAGAGGAATGTCTGTGTTTCTTTTACTCTTTAAAGGTCCCATTCATCAATTTATCCTCTTTAGATTGTGCATTTCTGGCTTTCTTTATACCATAGACTAGGCCGTCTAAGCTTGACCCCCACTTGTCTCTGATAACCTTTGTGAGTTTGGGCTTTACTCCCAGGTCTCTGATACACCTTGAGTTGATTTTTGTGTATGGTGTGAGATGTGGATCCTATATAAGTTTTCTGCAAGTAGCAGTCCAGTTTTGATAGCACCATGTGTTGAAGAGGTCTGACAGCCATTTTTGTCTTTTTTTTCTTCTCATTTTTGTAATAAATTTTTATTATATCCTTGATGTCCTTGGACATCATGTCCACTCTTCAAGCCATAAAAGATATTCTTGAAATTATTTTCAATTCTCAACACCATAGGTATTAGTAAGTTGAGATGGACTGGTAATGGTTATTTTTAATCAATTAATCATTTGATCTATTGTTATTATTAAAAGGAATAATGCCTCACACAATCAAAAAGAATGAGTGAAGATTGATTCTGAAGAATCTATAGACATACAAAGAAGATCTGTTAATACAACTATTTTTCAAATGTGCACACTAAACATTTAAGCCAAAGATCACAAAATTCAAGACAACATTCCAGAATAAGAAATATAACCTTGCAAAGAGGACTGAGGCAAGGGGAGGTAGGTAATTGTGCAACCATTTTTTTTAAAAAAATGTGAACTGGGAAAGGGGTAAGGGAGGAAGAAGGGGGAAATGTGTAAGAATGAATAAATGAAAGTTTGTTCATTAAAATCACAATGAAAAGAAAATAAAAAATAAATTGAAGCCCTGGATTGCAAATGAGTTGCAATACTTGGACAGAATACTGAAAGGTCCAGAAAGCATCAAAAGAAGATGGGGAAAGTACACAGGTCACTGTACCAAAAAGGACTGGACAACACAGAAGTACCTCATGAAACAACTTATTTTCAAGAGGCATGAATTTAAAGCTGATCTAAAGGAGTTGACAAAAACAAGGCCCCAGGAATCTATGGAATACCAATTTCAACAAACAGATGCAGCCATGGAAGTTCTCACCAGGCTGTGCCAAGAAATCTGCAGGACAACCACCCGGCCAACTGACTGGAAGAGATTAATATTTACTACCATTCATTAAAAAAAGGTGATTCAGTGGAGTGTGGAAATTATACAACAACAACATCACTAATATCACACATAAGCAAAATCCTGCTGAAGATTATCCGAAAGTGACTGGAACAGTACATTGACAGCGTACTACCAGAAATGCAAGCTGGGTTTAGAAGAGGCGATGGTGGCAATGGGTACAACAATACCAGTGTAAGATGGATCTTGGCCAAAAGCAGAGAGTACCAAAGCAATGTCGGTCTGTGTTTCATTAACTATGCAAAGGTATTTGAATATGTGGATCACAACAAATTGTGTCTAATCTTAAGAAGAATAGGAATCCCAGAACACCTGATTGTTCTCATTTGAAACTTATACTTGGATCAGAAAGCAGTCATTGGAACAGAGCATAGAAGCACTGCATGGTTCAAAATCAGAAAAGGGGTGCATCAGGGATGTGTCCTGTCTCCATACCTTTTCTATCTGTATACAGAGCAGATCATTTGAGAAGCTGGGTTTATGAGGAGGAATATGGCATCAGAATTGGAGGAAGACTCATAAACAAACTGCGTTTTGCAGATGACACAATCTTGCTTGCTGTACCTGAGTAGGGCCTAAAACATTTTTTGCACAAGGTCAAGGACTGTAGTTTTCAATATGAATTGAAACTCAACATTAAAAAAAGGAGATTCTCATCACTGGGCCAATTATCCATGATAAATGGAGAAGAGATTGGAATTGTTAACAATTACAGCTTGTTCAGTGTCATAATCAACACTCTTGGCACCAGCAGTCAGGAAATAAAAAGATGAATTGCATTTGGAAAATCTTCTGTTAGGAATTTCTCCAGAGTATTGCAATACCAAGAATTTCAGTCTAGAGACTAAGGTGTGCCTGATCCAGGCTGTGGTCTTTGCAGTTACTTGCTATGCATTGGAGAGAAGAATTGATGCCTTTGAGTTGTGGTCCTGGAGAAGAGTGTAGAACATACCATGGACTGCCAAAAGAACTAACAGATCTTTCCTAGAGAGGGTGAAACCAAGGGACTCCGGTAGACAATGGTTTTGAGACTGCATCTTACATACTTGACCACAATGTTTTGTTTTGTTGTTGGTTTTTTGTTTGGGGTTTTGTTTTGTTTTTTTCATTAATTGGCAAGAAGATGCAATGTCATTTGACATGGCTTCTCCTTGACTTCTTTTTCTGTAATAGAGTGCTCAGTCACCCAGTGGACAGTTCTTTGTTTTAATTTGCTCCTAGGAATCCTCACTCTGATGACATCCTTAAAGTGGCACACATTTAAAACCCAAGTGAGTTTAAGGTCATTTGTAAATTGATTATTCCTTCACTATAAAATTATCCTGGATTCCCCTTTTAATATTAGGTTTCAGTAGGTAGGACATCCACTAATCCTTTTTTTGGGATCACAGATTATATTATCTGCAGCAGTGGACATGGAATAAATAAAGGCTGTGGAAGCTGTGTACTCAGCTGCAGACAAAGCAGTAAGTTCACGACCTAAGAAAAGCATCTATCTTAACATTGGTAGTTTGTTTTAATTGTATTTGCAATGAGTCGTATTCAGGGAGTGTCAGCCTAATGGGAGTGGTAGAGGCTTTAAAATAAGTCAATTTGTTTAAGCTGTGGCCACCTGTGATGCTTTATGGAAATGATTCTCTAGGAACCACTTTGGTCTCTAATATTTACTCCAAGTGTTTATTTTAGAAATTTTTTATTAAAAAGAAAAAAGAAAACCTTCATTGATTTTTTTAATCTCTTTTCAAAGTCAGCTTTGATATACATTGGACAAGGCAAAGTATGATGACAGAAAGAGCCGAAACTGGACAGGTGTACATTTAAATAACAGAAGCATGTTTTTTCCTTTATTTCTTTCTTACGATAGGTAGGCAAATGACAATATGTTCTTTGTCTATCAAATTTTCCTCTACTTTATATTTTGCAATACATTAGAAACTCTCCCCTCACTTAAATCTGCAAGTGACATAAATCCTAATATTGGGTAAGAGAAATACAAATAACCTTGTTTGGGGAAGTTAAACTATTTAATTAATAAATAAAGTTGTAGTCAGTTGTCTTTTGGAAATTCTGAATGCCGACCATGGTTGTGTGTGGTGACATTTGGAATTAAGCTGAACCAGATTTGAAAATGGGTGTCATCTGCTGTGGTCCATAATTGTTGAAGGTTCTTATATTCTACCATATGAAACATGGTGGGTTTCATATGCTTTACCTTCTTTACTTTGTGCATTTTATTGATATTCCCTCTTTTCCATTGTGAACCCTCCTCTGATAATTTTATCAGCTCACTTCTGATAAATAAATAAGGAAACTCTGGTGGCATAGGCCTTAGGGAATTGCACTGATAACCCAAAGGGCATGCCTCTCTCACTGTTTGAATCCACCGTCAGTTCCATGGGAGAAAGATAGGCAAGCTACTCCAATGTGATGTACACCCTTGGAGGTTCAGCTATAAGTTGGTTCCAATTCAACAGCAGTTGTGATAGTTTGTTAAGTTATCTACTAGAAACTACAGAAAATGCATAACTTTATCTACCGTAAGAGTAACTAGATTCTGATTCAATAGTTAAATAGTTCTCTTTTGAGTAAATTTACTACCTATAGATTATGAACTTTATGACTTAATTTTAACCAGATCTATCCAAGACAGCTTATGTCCAAGATAGCCAAACAGCTATCTTCTAGTTTGCTGGAAAATTAGCTAGCAAGTACAACAGGATTTCCTTATCTACCTCATATTAGAGGTTCAAATGATAGACGTTCAAACAAAGAAAAAAGTCAAATGGGGGAAGAATCATATTTATTCATATGAACCACTATTAATATTCATTTTTTGTGGTCACAGGAAGAACGGTTACTGTACAAAAGATCCTTAATAGGGTAATAAGAAATGATCCCAGGGGAGCTCTGGTGGCCTAGTGGCAAGAAGCTGCACTGCAATCCCAGAGGTGCATGGTTCGAATCCACCAGATGCTCTGCCGGGAAAGGAGGGACAATCTCCTCCTGAATGGGATCTTCTAAGACTCAAATCCCTATGCACATCCAAAAACTTCTCCAGTAGGGTAAAAAGGGAAGCCACTGACTAGGAAAAAGTATTCGGTAATAACATATCAGATAAGGGACTTATATCCAGAATTTATGAAATACTTGAGCACCACAACAAGATAAAGGTAAATAATCCAATAGAAAAATGGGCACAGGATATGAACAGGCACTTCACCGAAGACGACATTCAGATGGCTAACAAGCACATGAAGAAATGCCCAAAATCCCTAGCCCTAAGAGAGATGCAAATTAAAACAACTATGAGATATCATCTCACCCCAGTTAAAATAGCAAAATTTAACAGAACAGCAAGCAACAAATGCTGGCGAGGTTGTGGAGAAACTGGAACCCTGATTCACTGTTGGTGGGAGTGTAAAATGGTGCAACCCCTGTGGAAAGCAGTATGGCGCTTTCTCAAAAAGTTGCAAATAGAGATACCATTTGACCCAGCAATTCCACTACTGGGAATATACCCTGAAGAGACCATAGCTGACATCCAAGCAGATATATGCACACCCATGTTTATTGCAGCTTTGTTCACAATAGCAAGGAGTTGGAAACAACCTAAGTGCCCATCAACAAACGAATGGCTAGAGAAGCTGTGGTATATTCGCACAATGGAATACTATGCTGCATTAAAAAATAAGGAACTCATGCAATATTATTCAAAATGGTTGACTCTGGAGAACATTATGCTGAGTGAAATATCCCAGTCACAAAAGGACAAATATTACATGATGCCACTGTTGTAGAATGGGACTGTCCTTGGGGTTGGGGAGAGACTGAGTAAGATGGGTTCAATAATGTATACTGCACTGAAACAGAGGAGGGAGAAAATTGTTTAAAAGAGATATATGACTAGGTACTTCTGTCATCACAGGAGTCTAGAGCGAGGGCTACATGGTGGAGGGGACCTGGGGGAGAGTTTGTAAAACAATGAAAGAATCCTTTCTTTTACTTTTTCATAATTTTTGACTCATGTACTTATAACTTGTTAGTCAAATTTGTGTCTTCTAGGTTGCAACACCCCCATGATACATCTTCAAGGATATGAACATGTACGGCCAAGCACAATCAATAAGAGTGCATCTAAATTCCAAAATCAATCTCCATAATAGTCTATGTGTTTCCTACTGCCAAAGGGGCCCTTTAGAGTAGTGAGAGAAGATCTTCACCCTGAAACACACAGCGTCCCTTTTCAGCAGGAAGTAGCTAAGACAATACGCCATCCCCTTTTCCTTATGAATCAGGGTGAAGTCTCTCTCAGGGAGGAGTGATAGGGAATGGCAAAGGACACACCGACAAAGGAGATTAATCAGAACTGACTTTGACAAGCACTGTGGCAATTGGACAATTAAAACAGACATTCGGATGGCGGGGAAGAAGAACAAACTGGGGAGGAGGGTGGAGAGAATGGTGCAGCAATGAAGGAGTGAAAGCCCAGAATCCCTGTGAATGTTCATTGAAACTAATAAAATTTAATAATAATAAAAAAAAGGAAAAAGAAAAAAAAAAGGTCCCATAAATTGAAGACTCTGTTCCCTAAGAAGGAGCCTTAGAAGTAAATCTGTTAAAGTATTCTACTGCTAACCTAAAGGTCAGTGGTTCAAACCCATCAGCCATCCTGCAGAAAGTAAGATGTGGCACTCACTCTTCTTCCACAAAGATTTACAGCCTTGGAAACCTGTGGAGTAGTTCCTCTTTGTGCTACAGTGTTGCTCTTAAGTTGAAAATAGTGTATTTGGGTGGGTATTTACCTAAAAGGATGGAGGAATACCTTGGTTTTCTGTTGTTCCTGATTCATCACAAAACAGATCTGTTCCTGTGGTTATGTGCTGTGAGTTGGAACAGACTCCTCACTAACCCTCCAATGGATTTTCAGGGCTATAAATCACACAGAAGTCAACTGCCCATCTTGCCCCTGCAGAGCGGCTGGTGAATTCAAACCGTGTGCCTTTGGGCTGGAAGCACAGCTCTTTACCACTATGCCACCAGAGCTTACTGAAACAGATACAGGTGATAGTAATTAGGGTGACGACAAGGATGATGGAGAAGAGAATGTTCATGATAATTTAAGTATATATTGAATGGTTACTATGCATTGGGAATGGTTTTGTGGATATTACACAAATGAATTCATTTAACCTCAGAAAAACCTATATCTTACCTTGTTACAATTATCATCCCCATTTTATAGATGAAGAGGCATGGGTGGAAAATTAGTTATATCAGGCCAATAAATAAAGTGAAGTTTAGTATTGCTGTAAAAGACCCCAACAACTCTTTTGCCCAGTTTTCTTTTGTCTTGGCTACCATATAGTGCCAATGTTTAGAATACTATATGGAATCATCATTTTCAAGAAAGGAAGTTTCTTATACATTTCTGTAAATTGCTTTATTTATAACAAAGGCTTTAAACATAAATATCACATCTTACTATTTTAGATGTGCTAGATAACATGTAAAAATAGTGTTCCTAATATAGATAGTTCATATATATTTGAGAAATTAACACTTAATACTTAAACTAAGAATATTGTGAGAAGGCGAGCTCTGGTGACCTAGTGGCAAGAAGGTGCACTGCAATCCCAGAGGTGTGTGATTCGAATCCACCACTCTGCTGGAGAAGGAGGAACAATCTCCTTCTGTACCAGACAGATCTGATTTGATGGTACACACACAAAAAAGTAATAAAAAAATTAAAAAAAAATAATATTGTGAGAAATCTTTACAACAATAGTTGTGCTCAACTTGAAGGCATTTAACAACAACAACTAATTCCACTTGTTCATAAATTTTACTATAAAACCCTGTGTTTCAGTGTGTAACCGAATTTTTATGGGAGGATTCCAAGATAAGTTCAGCAAAAACAATGGAAATATTTAAAACATGTGCTAATAATTTCACATTTTTTAGTAGAAACATTGTTGTTGTTGTTGTTGTTGTTATATGTAGTCGAGCCACCTGAAACATTACTAATGTCATAAAATTGTCTTAGTTTTATATGTCTGACTACAGTGATGCAAAAGTACTATATGTGGTTGTTAGGTACCATCGAATGCAATATGACTAATAGCAACCCTATGAACAACTGATCTGAATCCTGTCCTATCCTGTGCCATCCTCACAATCCCTGACACACTCAAGTCTACTGTTTAGTGTGTCACTGTGTCTTGCTCACCTTCACCGTCCCTCCACCTTTCCAAGCATGATGTCCCTCTCCAAGGAATAACCTCTCCTAGCAACATGCCTAAAGCATGCGAAATAAAGCTTTCTCATCTTTGCTTCCAAAGAGCACTAGGGCTGCACCTTCTCCAAGATATATGTATCTGTTCTTTTGGCAGTCCATAGGATGTTCAGTACTCTCCTCCAAAGCCAGCAATTTTTCATCTGTCATCCTTATTCATCTCCCAGCTCTTAGCTGTACAGCAAGTGACTGGAAGTACTATATAAATACTGCAAATCTGAAAATCCTCATAGAATTTAACAATGGGACTAATGTCACTCTCACAATTTATTACTTTGCAGGGGAATGACACGCTGGGGAGAATTCGATGATCTTTATCATATAAGCAATCTAGAAAGAAATGAGATTCCTGTGCCTGAAGCAAAGAACTTCAAAGAAGGTCAGTATCAAAGTATCCTTATTAGGGCAGGTTGTTTTCTTTGTTTTGTTTTTCTAAATAAAAAATAAATAAATAGACCAAAACCCAAAATAAAGCAGTACTTCTAATGTTTTTCTGAAATTTAACATTTTGTAGAGTCTTCAATAAATTCTAGGGCTTTTTTTTTAACATATATACATTTTACATATGTGTGTATGTACATTTCAGTCTTTTAGGAGCAAACTAGCTTAAATCACTGCTGTGGTCGGGTGATGCTTAAGAAACTTACTTTGCTTTGTAAAAATATGATGGCTTTTACAACCATGCAGCAAATCACTTATACTTAATGGATGAGGAGAGGTAATTGAATAAAGCTGTGTATGTAAGCATGTTCAATATTTTCTGTAAGAATTAGGATCATTCTCAGAGGAAAACTGCTTGTAAGGTTCAAGATAGAGTTGTATATTAAAATACAAATGGTAATATAGTTCTTCTCAAATAACACACAAGTAGGGGGGAAATAAGTTATTATAAATATGCACACTTATTTCTTATGTCTTAGAAAGGAAACATACTAAGTTTAGCCTTTGTGATACAATTTCATTCAGACAAGACTCATTTCTTTCATTACTCTACAGCAAAATGGAATCTGGCCCATTTGGTACAATATTAAAATGATATTTTAGATTTAACTTTAATGTCATAATTATTTAGCCAAATGGTAATGAAATGCATTATTTATCCTTAATGAAGAAATTTATTGTGAAAATAAAGAATTAGGATCATTAAGTATTTGCAATTGTTTTTTATGTTAGAGCTCGCCCCTCTAACCAAAGCCTACATATTCTAAAGGCTAACTGTAGGTTTGCTATGAATCTGAATTAACTCAACAGCCATGAGCTTTGGTCTTTGGGTACTTAATGGCACAGAATTAGTTATTCAATTTCTTCCAGCTGTAATATCCTGAAATTCCATATCATCCATTACCCTCAGTCAAAAAAAGATTCAAACTCCAATCACATGATAATTTCCTACGGTACAAAATTCACTACAAGGATTTGCTAGAAATAGCCTCAGGCATCATTTATGATCTCAATACACAGCTGAACTGTAGACTGTATAATGCTTTTTAACAACCGGGATGCAGTAATACTGCAAAAGGTAAAAAAATAGCATGTGAAAATCCACCCAGGATTCAAGGAAGTGGGGAATTAAATGACATGAGCTTATAATCTTTATTCCTCCCAGATTATTTATTTTGTCACAGCAGCACCCTGAAGCTTCACACAGATGAAGAACCAGAATCCCCACTACTCTATAGAACCATGAGTGAAGCAGCCTTAGTTAGAAAAAGGATGAGCCCTCATACGATGGACAAAAAAGACAGACACAGCCATAGAGCCTCTATTAATGGACATTTCTACAACTATGAGGTGAGTCAGTTCAATTTAAGATAGTGTTATCTATAGAACTAACAATACTGTTCATTTCAGCTTACTACTATATTACTATACTATTATATTAATAACAACGGTGATATACTGCATTCCAACACACTGTGAATGCATGTGATCTCCATAGAGTTTCCAATGGCTAACTACCTTCCCTGAAGTAGATCACCCGGCCTTTTTGCTAAGTCTCCTCTGGGTGAACTATCCCCTTCTCTTTAAGCATCTGAGAGAATGTATTAACTGTCAGTGTCAACCAGGAACCTCTGAAGAGTAACAATTATATAGCATACTTGACATTTGTTGGACACTTCCTATGTGGTAGAGATTAAACTATCTGCTTTAAATTGATTTTTTTTTTCATGAGCTCTGCTGGCCTAGTGGTAAGAAGCTATGCTGTAATCCTGAAGGTATGCTGTTTGAACCCACCAGCCACTTGACTAAAGGAGAGGCAATCTCCTCCCATGAGACTAATTGCCTCTGAAAACCTTCAAGAGGGTCAACTATGGGTCATTTCCAACTTTGAATATACAACAACAATTAATAAATAAAACCAATCTTTTACATAGAGAACAGTATCTTCTCCCCTTTACAAATGAGTTCATTGATGTTCACAGAGGTTAGTTAAGAAGTTTATTTTAACACTCAACAAAATAGGATTGAGGGGAATTTCTTCAACATAGTAAAAAGTATTTATGAAAAGCCAAGAGCCAACATCGTTCTCAACGGAGAGAGGTTAAAGGCATTCCCTTTAAGAACAGGAACTAGGCAAGAATGCCCGCTCTCACCTCTCTTATTCAATATTGTATTGGAAGTCTTAGCGAGAGCAATAAGACAAGAGAAGGAAATAAGAGGTATCCAAATTGGCAAAGAGGAGGTAAAATTATCTCTCTATGCAGATGACATGATAGTATACCAAGAAAACCCTAAAGACTCAGCAAGAAAACTATTGGACGTAGTTGACCAATTCAGCAAAGTAGCACGATACAAGATCAACATGCAAAAGTCAGTTGGATTTCTCTACAGTGACAAAGAGAACACAGAGATGGAGCTAAGAAAAACAATACCCTTCACAAAAGCTAATCACAAGACAAAATATTTGGGAGTAAATATAACTAGAAGCACAAAGAATCTATTCAAAGAAAATTACAAAACATTACTACAAGAAACAAAAAGAGACCTGGAGAAGTGGAAATATCCCTTGCTCATGGATAGGAAGACTCAATATTGTGAAAATGGCAATACTACCAAAGGCAATTTATACGTTCAATGCAATCCCAATAAAAATACCAATCCCATTCTTCAAGGAGATGGAAAAGGTAATCTCTGATTTTATTTGGAATGGAAAGAAGCCCCGAATAAGCAAAGCACTCCTCAAAAATAGAAAAAAGGTAGGAGGCATCTCACTCCCTGATTTCAAATCCTACTACACTGCCGTGGTGGTGGTTAAGACAGCATGGTATTGGTACAATGACAGACACATAGATCAATGGAATAGAAATGAGAGCCCAGAAATCA